TGCTTCCAGTGGACGAAAACATTAGTAGAATGCAGATGCGATGGGTGAAACTGTTTTTCTACTTCATAACCAATACAGAGTGACAAAGCGTATGAAGTTTTCAAGTGTAACTCACTTAGTTATGGTTGCCTTCTATTTATAATGCACTGAGTATCCCACATCAAGTCTTAGCAGTTATTTCACAATCACCAAATCAAGTGTAACTCACTTAGTTATTACACAACCACCAAATCACATCTAAAACTTAATTTGCAACCAATTTGTGTGACTGTTTAAGGTCTAATTGTACCATTTTGACTAAATCACATCTTCTTTATTTTCTTTAATTGTGTGTTTGTTCACTTGTTTCTCTAAGAATTGATTTTACTGAAAAGAAAATAAAAGAAAGGATAAGAAGCGGGAAAAAGATTGGAATTTTATTTTTTTTACTGTCCGATCTAAGAATGGATTTTACATCTATTAGTTTTCATTTTATTAGTGAATATATTGAGTGCAATGTAACAAGACAACTTTTGATAATGAAAAAATTGATATTCTCCCCCATTTCTCTCTTCCTCTCCCCCCTATTCTTCTCTCTTTTCTCCTACTTCCCTTCCCCGTCTCCTATAATTCTATTCTTGTTGCCTACATTAATGTAAAAGGAATAACATCAAGCCATGATCATAAAAAGAATAAAACAATTAGGAACCAGAAAGGCCAGTTAGACGCAAAAAAAAAAAAAAAAAGATTAGTAAAAGTGCAAGATAAAAGCTTATAACTACATCAGTTATGCTTTCACTATGTGCAATGAGATAAATGGGATATAGATTATCAACTCAGTAAATAGATACAATGGAAACATTTGTAATTTAATCCAGTCTTAATATTTAGTTGGCCACTGCAAAGTAGAAACAAAAGAGCTAACTAAAGTGAGAAAAGATCTTATGACCAACTGGTGCATATGAAAAGCAAGGAAATTTAAGCTAGGACAAATATCAAGTGGACACAAATTGCAAGTACAGCTAAATGTAAATCCAACAAAGATATAGTCTTTAACAAATGAAAAATTATATTGTTTTCAAGTTGGTACCAGTTATATACTTCATCTCTAGTCACACACACTAGTAAAAGCAATGAATTTCTTCTTTGATTGCAAATGAATGGAATTTATCTTACCAACAAATTTATAGACATCGAAATCATGTCGAAAA